TTTTAAGATTAGGTATTTAAATGAGATTAATTTCTCAATAAACTAAATTAAATTATGAAGTCATAGTATTTTATTTTATTTTTATATATCATTATATATTTTTTTTATTCTAAGTAAATTTAAATTAATCTAATTTTTTGTTGGATTTTTCTTATTCAAATTATTACTTTTAAAAATTCTACTTATAATGTCATTATTGTTCTATAAAAATTATTTGTTCACTATCTTAACTATAATCTAATAGTACAAAAAAAGGCTCCTAGAATTGCACCATTGGACCAACATTCTTTAAATCCAACCAAGAGGTAACAAGCACTACTCCTTCCATATGCCACTAATTAATTCAAAATCTAAACTAATCCTAGACTTGTCATTACAAGTGCTACTTCTATCCTCACTTTGTGATATTTTTTATAAAATGGCTTTTAATTTTGACTCTTTACTAAATCATAATTCTTCCATGTGTCAAGGACAAGAAATCAAAGAAGATATGTAAACAAGTTAGATATGTATCAAAGAAGGATGACAAAATAGAAATAAGAAAGTATATATGTTTAAAAAGAAACTAGAATGGCTATTGCCAAAAGATTATAAAACTAAAGACCCTTGAAACTAGACTAGAAAGAAGTTGACAAGAATGAAGAAGGCCTCATTCTAGTGTCAATATATACTATCTAAAAAAGAACTACATAGCGGCACTCTTTAAGACCTCAAACACATCTTCAACTTGCATAACACATGTCTAACTTGCAAGAAAAGTTTCATATATGTGCACCACATGGTGAACTTGTACCACAAGCTATCAACATGTGCAATATGTGGCTAACTTGTTGGCTAAGTTTTCAACCTATCAATCAAATTTATACACGTGTAAAGATGAAACTATATTTTTGAAGCTGCTAAGAAGCTTATCTACAAGATATTATCAAGTTTATCTACTTTTGCCTACTTCTCCTTATTCATATTATCTAAATAATAATTAAAGTATATATATATATGATACCATCTTATTAATCTAGACCACATCTGTTTTTGTTGATTTTAGCTTATTTGTTGCCTTTATAATTCAAATTGTTACACATGATTTATTATAGTTTTTATTGTCATTGGCTTACTACTTTAAGTTGATTGTGTGAGCTTTATGTAAATATATATGTTGCTACATCATTCTTGTAATATCTCACTTTGACATGATTGTTCTTATTCTTGTCATCAAATGAATCTACTTTGTGCTACTATTCATATTAAATTCTACTAGCAATGCACACAGTTACTATATTGCTTTGATAGTTGGTTTTAGTTTATACTCACAAAAGTTTTATATTTATACACATTTGATTACATTTTTGTTTCTATCTTAATGACCACACATCTTGTACATGAATTTCTACACATGCACATAATTTTATTAATAAATAAAATCTTATTTTATTTTTATTAAAAAAAAATCAAAAACAATGTATAATGTTGTGTAAATAAAGATTGTTGCACATAACACATCAAGGATTACAAACCAATTACAAAGTAAAAAATTTAAACCAAATACAAATGTTCAACTATACACTCTCAAGGAAGGATTACAAATGCATACACAACTGAGTCAATCTATCTTTTACACCATAAAAGAAGAATCCAAGAGTGCAAGTGTGAAAAATAAAAAAAATCCTAAAAATTTACTAAAATGGCTAAATTATCATAGCCAAGAAAATCCTTACAACAAGTTTTTTCTCTCTCAAAATTACTTGCAAGATTTGACTTGACAAGAATGTCAAATCAAGAGATTTTTTTGCTTAAGTATTCAAGCAGTAGTTGACATTAACAAATTTAACTAACAAAAAAAGCTAATGGATGAAAAAACCACTAAACCACATATATTTGATGGGATTTGGCATCCAATGGTACATCACATGACACCATATTTTGCATATTATGAGAGAGTCGAAGAAGATTTAAGTATGTCAATTGCTTTTTATTTTTTTTCATTCTGATTCATATCCTAAAAAAATATTTGAAAATCTTAAAAAGTAAGTATTTGAAAATCTCTTGAGATGAATATTTTGGAATTTTGCACATTGGTATTATTGCATATTTTAAGTTAATACTTTAAAAAAACCTTTTTTATATTAAAATTTTACTTTGTTTTATTTTTTTAATTCTTGGTTTTTTCACAATATTATTTTTAAACTAGATAATTTGATTATCTTTTTTATATTACTAAATTAATGACTAATATTTTTTCCATAATTATTCACACTATTCAAAAAATCCTATTAATATTTTTTAGTTATTCTTTTAATAACACCACTTATAATCTTAAACTATACATTCTTCTTTTGATTCTTTAATATAATAAAATATTTACATGATATTACAATTATATTTATAGATTTAAAAGATTGCCATCATAATCTTGAACTTGATATTCAAATTTTGTTCAAAATATTAAATAAGGTACTCTAATTCACTAAGTTATAAATTTTAAAAAATAAAAAACACAACTTAAATAATAATATTTCATTTTTAGAAAATATTAAAAAAAACCTAATTTTAATATTTGAAAGATTTTCATGTAAGATATAAAATTATAGAAAAGATAGAAGATATATATCTAAATTTTATTTGAATGATATCTATAAATTATTTTAATAAATACAATTCTTTAAGAAAAATTAATTTTACACATAACATCTTCTAAAATAAGACAAAACTAATCTTATTTTCCAAGATTTTTTTATTAAATATTTTCATAATAATATTATTAATAAAATATGTATTAGCTCAATAATAAAGACTATAAATATTAATGTATATTTAAGAACAAAAGATATATGTAAAAGTCACTGAGCAAAAAATAGTTCTTGAAAATTATAATAGTTTTCACCATTTTTTTTTATATACATTTCTCGTATATTCTATGTAAGTCTAATCAACATCTTCTAAACTTTAAGAAATATTCTTTGGTCTTAATATTCTAACTAATAAAATAAAAATGAAGTTTTGACCAATAAAAGAGCATATATGTCTTTTTGATATCTCTTCATTGTTTGTCTTTTATGCAATATTCTTTCTCCTTTTTTGTATACATGCAAGACTTTTTACTTTTTGATTTTTTTTCTCTCCCTTTCTGTATATATTTCAAATATAAAATTACATTATATTTGGAAAGTCTATACTACAACGATAATATTAAAATTCCTTCATAATGCATATAATCATTAAAAGTAAAAAATGTGGTGATGTCTAAGTCTAATCCACCACCCATACATCACATTTCAAACCACTTTCATTAAGTCAAATAATATGAGACTTGGTATGCTCACAGCCCTCTAAAAACTCAATTTGGAGCCAATTTTTTCTCAATGTGAACTATAAGTCTTAAAATAAAACACTTTGTTCCAACATGTTAAATGCAGCCTGTGAATTAGTAACACTTGCATATCCAGCAGCTTCAAAATTCATCCCCAATTGTTCAAGGTAATGCCACATTGCAAGTAAGAATCAAAAACATATTCTTTACATAATAATTCTTGTTGTCAAGAGGCAAAAAAGTGTCCATACAGAAACCTTTGAAAGCGAACAATATCACTGTAGATATGGCGCCATCAAAGACTTGACTGAAAGCGAAAAAAAACTTTGACCCCGAACCTTTTAACTAATTGAATTTCTCAGCGACTGTGACAATCTTGGTGCTCAAACCATTAAAATAAAAACAAGAGCTGTACTTGGACTTCAGTTTTATGCATCAAGATATGACGTGGTATTGGAAACCTATGCACGAGACTGTCAGGATTACACAATAGCGCCGCACAAACCCAGATACAGATAAGTGGAAACAGGAGCTAGAATGTATTCCAAAAACCACATCTATGAGAATCTGTTGAAGTACTGAAACCGAGTTCAAGGGCAAATTAGCTCATTCAGTGTTGGATTCTCCTTGTCTGCTTTTTCTGGCTAGTCTTGCTGTTTTAACTATAAACCAACGAGAGTTATCCAGCAAGAATCAACATGAATGAACATGCAAAGCAGGCAGTAACTGTATCCGTAAGGACGGATTACTCTCAATTAGAATCCCATGCCACCACGAAAGGCTTCGGCCACGACGAACAGAGTTTCGCAGCAAGCAAGATTGCAAGACTAACACGAGCAGGGTCACAATGGCCAGTGATAGGAAAGTGACGTGCAGGGCCACACTGCCACGGGCAACAGAACAGTCACACAACAGCCAAATAAGCAACACAGCAGTCTCGATTGTCAGGAAACTAACCAAAAGAAGGGAAGGTAAGTCGAGGTTGATTCTGGCACAAGGCAACAGATTTGGGCCCCAAGACTAGTATAATGCAGCAATCAATCATTCATGAAAATCGACGAGTGTGTTAATCTATATCAAATAAGAAAATCTTCGGAGTAACTCGCAAACTAACAGCCACCGGAACCGAAACTCTCGCCACAAGTTACTTACGTGGCATTATTGATACATCTCGGTGCAGGAATATGATTTATCGCTAACCCATTAATAAATAGGGAGTTTCCACTTCCATTATCCAACAGAAGGGCAGGGAAAGAATTGCAATAAGGCCTAATGAAGAGGCATAGAATCAGTAGAGACAAACTACGGGAGGAAAAAAATCACGTACACATAGAAAGTATCTTCAGAACAACAAGACCACCTAAGACTTGACAAGAGAGCCAAGTTTGTGACAAGGGGCTGCTACAAAAATCGGCGTGTACAAAGAATGAGAACTTGAACCCTAAAACAAGTAGACACAAAGGACAAAGAAAACGTCATGTACTCGCGTACACAGCAAGTAAGCCACACTGTGACAGTGGATAATTAATGCATTATGTTAATAAGAGGTAAATGTTCCGATACAACGGCTGCAAAAATTAGAGGTAAGGAAGCAAACGTCACGTTATGTACAACATGCCACACGTGAACAAATCATTGAAGGTGCAAGCTTTGACAGCAGCCGTTGACTCGGACAAGCCAGACGAAATGGAAATGTGGTGAAACAACAGTCCTAACCCAAAGATTTCATTTCTTGGAAACTCCAATTACAACAAATGGGGCTTTAAAACAGCTAATAAAGCTTAAGTTTGAATTAACAAACGTAAGGCTTCATCCTGATCTTCGACCCGCTGACACAACTTAAACCCTTCTCTTCGGTGTACACCCCTCCGACGAGCGCAAACCGATTCCAGCCCCTTCCACCTTCACATTGACTGCAAAGGTGGACCGCGCAGACCATCCATCGCGGAGGGGCCCTCGGACCCGGCCGACGACTCCCCTCCTGGAGGACCTAGGTCTCCAACCCCACAAATGTCAGAGACATTCGCCAACACACAAAAAACAGAACTCATGAAAGCTTCTGGATACTACATCAAACTGCAGCCCATGCAGAACTCAGTGCACACTAAACCCTTTCCACACCACCCACGAAGATTAATAACGGAAGCGATTAAAAAAAATCAAGCAGAGCACTACTCTCCTGCCTGGTGCAAACAAAGCACAGACCCCGTGGGCACCAAAGCGCACCACGGTCCGGCGGGCGCAGCATGCTCCGCAAAACCCTGTATCGGCCACCCCACCGAACCAAGGCTTGACTTCCCATCCAGATATGCGAGGGTATTTAAGACCATTGCCTCTCTAGTGAAGCAACTAAGCGGCAGCCGCGGGAGCGCAGTCCCTTGCCAAATGTCCAGCCTCTCCACAGGTGTAGCAGCTGCGGTTGCCTCCACCTCCGCCACCTCCTTGTCTAGCGTTTCCTGTCGACTCGTTCTGACACTCACGGGCAATGTGGCCACCTTCGCCACAGTTGTAGCAGGTCCGCTCGCCCCCGGCAGCACCGCTGCGCTCACCGACAAAACCTCCAACACCACGTCCGCCACGGCCCCTGCCTCTCCCAGCACCTCCAACGGTGCCTCGACCTCCTCCCTCACCTGCGCCGCGACCTGGGCCGCCATACCCGTCGCGCCTGTAGCTCGCACCCTGAACGAACGCACCTCCAGGGCCCGTCACAGCCAACGCCTTCGTCCTCCCGTCCTCGCTTGACTCCACCTGAAACTCGACCACCTCGCCCTCGCGAAGCGACCGAAACCCCTCCGCATGGATGCTCGTCTGGTGCACGAACAAATCCTCTCCGCCCTTGTCAGGCGTGATGAACCCGAACCCCTTGCTGCTGTTGAACCATTTCACCTTGCCCGTCTCCTTCGCCTCCGTGCTCACGCTGTGCCCCTCTTCCGTCATAGCTCCCGACTCGACTATTCACAGTACCAGGAGAAAAGAACGAACAAGACACGTAAAAAACACAAAAGACGGACTAGGAGCGTTTAAGAAAACAACGGGACTCTTTCGTAGGGGCGCAAAACAGGAAGTCGAACCGCAGCCTCAGATAACACAGCAGCTCAAGAAAAGTATATTGCAGACAACGGTTCGAAGTGGACTTTGCAAAGCCAACTCTGGTTGCACCGGGTCTGCTCCGAAAAGCATCCACCGATTGGTCACCCTGCCCATCGGACGGCTCACGCCGATCATCATCCCCTGAGCTTCAGGGCGGGAGCGAGGCTCCCAATTTCGCGGGCAGTCGGGGACCACTTTCCCCCCAGATGAACATCCGACGGCGCCCCTGCGCTAGGGTTTAGCAGCTGCACTGAACCTCCAAACCGACACCCCGCCGTGCCCCGCCTGCCCCCTTTTCGTCTTCTTCTTCTGCTGCTGCTACTGTTGCTGCTGTGTACCCGTCCCTGTTTGCACCCCTGATGCCCGCTTCATCCCTGCAACGTGGTTCCTGTGCTTCCACCATTGCACGCAAGCAATCGTTCCCTTGCCAGTCCCCCTCCCCCCCCCATTGAAGATACTAGGGCAGCTCCAGCGGAATATGACCCCCGACAAGATCTCAAGCCAATTAGCGTGCAGATGTTTGAATTGAAGGTGCTAATGTGGAATAATTTCACCCCCTGGCCCAGGCGCTGGATCGACGAGGGTGAGTAGAGGGTGTTCGTATGGTTTTGAGCTGCCCGTGATTTGTACTGCTCTGCCCTAACCGATTTGGAGTTCGTGCAATGTTACAGGCGGTTTTCGTTAATGAGGCGCGATTGATGGGCTGTTCAGAGCCTCTTAAGCAATGTAGCAAGATGGTCGTTGGAATGTCTCCCATACTGTGAATCTATCGTGTCTCTTATCACGTTTAGCTGAAGAACTGTATCTGCACAAAGCCCTCGTTTGAGAGGCGGGTTTGATTGTTACTACAAATCACCAGCAGACGTTCGGTCAAATCGGGCATAATAACTTCCTTCCTTATGTGGCCATGGCATGTTCCTCGAAATCCGGACCGTGTGAGTGTGAGTATTCTTGAAAACTCTGTTGCAACACGATAGCAGACACATCGGAAGAGCTTCAAGCCACATCGAGCTATGCTGTGCGTAGTAGCTGCCTGTTCTGCTTTAAGATGAACTGCAGAGGAGTAGACATTAGAAATCATACTTCATGTAGTGAGCAACATGTAAAGCCATGCCATGGCATGGTCGTTTGTTGCTCACTCACACAAATCATGTTACCTGCGCGACTGCCTGTGTAATCTACGATTTCCATTGTTTAGATGAGACATAAATCATCATTAAATGTTCCAACAAATGCTGATTTTTTTTTACTAAAACTGCACCTGCAGGTATCCTACGTTCAACTTCATGACATGGAAGGGTCACTCTCTCTAACTGCAGATTATTTCAGATTGGTGAAGAGGTCATTCATATGTGCCACTAACCGAAGCACTATAAACAAATCACAACTTCAACTGTGACTTGCACTATCGACACCATAGCAACCTGCCAAAAGTTGACATGACGCTCTCACCCATGAGATCAAGGAGAATTACAACAGCACTACACCTTTTCCTACAGCTGCAGTGAGGACATCTCCGCCACCACGTCAATAAGATCACAAGGATGATCAGACGAAAAGAAATACGGCTTGGAAGATAAATAATTAATACACAAACTTGGAAACCTCTTCATGCATGCAGCAATCCATAAAACCCTAGCTAGTGAAATCTGGGTCTCACGTCAGTGCAAGAGACCAATTACCACATAGATGCGACTGTGAAAGGATTTGATAATTAATTCGTACCACCGAACGGATCACGTCAACAAGGCCCGCCGAATCATCACAAGTGCACGACCTCCCAACGAACTATCACCCAAAATTTAGAGGAAAGAACATACTAATGACACGAGAACAACATCTTCGGGTATCAAAATACGAGAACGTACTAAAAAGGCCGGAGAAACAAAGCCAACGACACAAAAATAGCTCCCTCGGCGACCAGATTATAAAACCTCCCAAGCAAAAAATAAGTAAGAGGAGAAAAGAAATAAAGAAACAAACAGAGTTCTGATAATTAAATCCACGTTTATCGAATCCCCAGGTAATACCAAGACATCCTTCGTCAGTTGCCTGATAAAGGTAAGATACGAGACGCTATTTGCCTAGTTGTCATTACTTACATCAACGGCGTAACCAAGGCAATAACCCTAACGTTGAGGTTAGCTAAAGTACTCTCGAACGTTAACAGTACACGCACCGAACTGCACCTATGATCCCTAGACACAAAACTTCAACGCTAAAAAAGACCTAATTATCTGCCACTGTAATTTGAGACCTCCTTTCCTATCTTGGTCGATTGAAACTGACGGTAATCTCAACTCTAGACGTAATACCTCACACGGCCATTCAAGATACCTGCTCTGTTCTTCCGCCACAAACAAATCCATTCCGAAGAAGAGAGTTCGTGAAAGCGTAGGGACTATCTTTTTTTGAAACCGTATTTCTTCCGTTCATAGAACAAATCGGTTTTCGCACTTCCGAGGTTCACAATCTTAGGACAACCATCCCGGTCCTTCTCCTGCTGAGTACACTCCTTGCAATAATAGGCGTCTGAAATCCCAAGGCCTCCACAAATGACGCACCGCCCTTGATACGAGCCATAGTTACACTCGTCACAAGTTCTCACAAGCGTGCACGGCCTCACGTACGAGTCGCAAATCACGCACTTCCCGTCGCATTTCTCACACAACCTGCCGATAGCAATCCCCGGCTGCTTCCTGCACATAATCAAATCGGGGTGATGCTTTGCCATAGCTCCAGCAAACTTGACGACTTCCTGCTCTTCCTGCTCTTAATATGATTCACGGACAGTTCCAGAAACTTCCCTTGGGATTGCCCACTGCGGTGAGTGAAGAATCACGAAGAGTGAATGAAATCCAAACTGATTAATGCTACGATCCTTCTTCGGCACAAAACTGCACGCAATCTCTCGGTGACCTTCCTCGACGCAAACTCGAGACCCTAAGGGGAAGATATTCAGTCTGGGTGCCGTTACCGAGGCACCTATGAATGGATGATAATTATGGTCGCGTTTCATTCGTCTATTTTATCATTCATTCGTTCAGGGCATGACTTTAAGAGAGGGTGCCCCATCACCTGCTTTCAGTCGAGGGTTCGATTCCTGTTGACCAATTTAGATTCGATTGCATTAATATTTGACCACGGTTGTTGCTAAAAAATTTGTGGATATTTGAGGGTCGTCAATAAAGAAGCCTTATGAAAATTCATCTGTGGAACAATAGGTTCTTTGTTTCATTTTATTTGTTTAATTTTGGAACAATAAAATTAAACATATATATAGAGTGTTAATATTAGTGGCTACAATAATTGTGTAATATTTTTCTTTTTTGGAAAAATTAAAACAATATGCGAATATATATATATATATATATATATATATATTATTCTCCTTCATCCTAGGCTATTCACTATCAAACATAGCTTCTGTGACTTAAAACCTAGTTCATGATTGGACATCCAATGAAATGCTATCAATGTTTGCTAGAATAGACCAATTACACACAATAAAGTGATCCCACAGAAGACTATCAAATTTAATGTGCTACTAACTACAATTAGGAAAGCCAAAAATTAATTGTACCACACTTTGATGGATAAGAATTTTTCTTAATACAGCACTTTCAAACCAAAAGTTGCTTATCTAAAAAAAAAAAGAAAAAAAAAAAAAAAAAAAAAAAAAAAAAGAATACAAACATGATATTGAATCTTTAAAATATTAGCTTTTGTATGTATGTATTTTAATTCTTTTCAAAAAAATTACATACAAATGCACCAATCAATTTTATTATTCATCAATATCATTTACAATTTTATAATTTTGCTTATTCAAGAGTATATAGTCAAAATAGACATGACACAACTATATCGGTGGTAACTGGTATCTATGTAAGATTAAAATTCATCTATGATAATATCGTCCAAATATTTAGTGGTGATTGATAAATCATTTGTATTACCATTATTCTACAAATTTCAATCAATTACAATATAGTTGAATAATCTATATAATAAAAATCAAAAAAAATAAAACAATGTATTCCACCAAGTAGTTCTAAATTGACTGTACAAACTTCTCTTATGCATTTACTACATCCACAAAAGTATTTTTATAAGCAATCTACAACTTGAGCATTTGGCTTGTGAGTCGTGTAGTTCCAACAAAGGATTAGTAAGGTATTTTTTATTATTTCACATATATAAAAACAAAAATAACATTATTATTAATTTTGCCAATTTCTTTTATGCATTTGAATTCCACTACAAGTCTCTTGCATTTTCAATCATTTCCAATAGTCAATTTAGAACCTTCTTATATTTTTGAAAACTTGTCTTCCTTTATACCTTTAATATGCTAAACTTTAATAATATTCTTGTAAATCATATGCTCTTTAATAAAATTTACACAACTTTTTGGTGACATAATACATATGTAAAAAGAATTAAAACAATTATTAGTCTTATAAGATTTTCACTTATATTCTGATCTTTTTTTAAAAAAATTTCATTTTCTTTGTACTAAGCAATAGTAATTCCATTAGATATATATATATATATATATATATAGATAGATAGATAGATATATACACACAATTCTTTCAATAATTATTATTAGAATTATATAATTACTGTTTAAGAAAAATAAAATAAAATAAAGTATTAGATAAAGAGTATCATTCTTAATATCTCATTATTCTAAAGATGAAATTAAAAAAATAGATGTTTCATAATATATTCAAAAATATATATAGAGAGTAAACTAATAATTTCATATTTTTTTATTCATTGAATTATCTTTATTGCTTAAATTAATTAAATAACTTTGTAAAGGATTTAGAAATCTTCAGCTATGTAAATGTATTAAGTGTATATATTATTTAAAAGAATGTATTCAATAATTTATCTAAGTTACATAATAAAAAACACATTTTAATAAAGATAAATTAAATTCGCTAGATTTTATATATATCTTATAATTTAACCATAAAAAATAATATAAATTAATAAATTTTAAAAATTTTCAAATAAAAAATTTATGCTACTTGTGTATTTTTATAAGTTGAAATATCTTATTTCATGTATCAAGTCTTTTTTTTTTCTTTTTTCTTTTTTCTTCTTTCTTTTTTTTTCCTGATTTTACAATCAATAAAATATTATTCTTATTTCTGAACCGAAAAATCTGCTTTTTAAAAATTATTTGAAATTAATTTAAAAAAATCATTTACAAAATAAAAATTTAATCTTTCTTTGATGGCTTTTCAACAATAATTTGCTTCAATTCTACCCACTTGATTGTAAGAAGCCAACGTTTAAAATCATATATATATATATATATATATATATATATATAATACTGTTTTAGAATTGTTCTTCTTTCAACTTACAAATATTTTATTTTAATTTATATCATTTAGAAATTTAAGTTTTCAGACTTATTTGAATGCACCTTCTTTTTTTCTTTTCTTTTTTAACTTTTTATATTGAAATGGTACAATCTCTAATCAAAAAAATATCTATATATTAATTATTATTTATTATATTATATATTTTTAATTATCTTAATACTGTGTTACAACCTACATAGTCAATTTCTTTAAAATGACCAAATATTCACAAATTTAACGATATAATGTAATTTATTTTATAATCTACCAAACACACCCAATAAAGTTTTATTTCAATTACATATTATTTTCATGCATATTTTTAAATTTATATTTTTTAAAATTATTATTTACTAATTATGAAATATAGAAAATCCTTGCTTTATTTTAGATATAATATATTAAAAAAAACTTATTGAAATATAACAAAGAACATTATATATACATGAATACACATAATACTTTTGGATGTTCAAATATATATATATATATATATATATATATATATCTTCTAACTTCAATAATAATAAAATTCCTAAAAGAACTTTGTTTATAGTTACTTATTTATAATACATGTAACAAATTATAAGAGTAGATATAACAAGAGCTTGCAAGAATAAGAGATTAAAATATCTTATTACTAGATGCATTTTATCTATTTTTTGTAGATCCAAAAACAATCTATTTCTATGCCCACTTCTTTTTGTATAAGCAAAAAGTTTCGGTATGACTAAGTAAGTCTTGGTGCCTAAAGAATATACATGCAACAAATTATTTATTTATTTTCATGCTTATCTTGCTTATCTACCTTCATTTTTTTTATTTCTTACATGTATGTCTTGATATTTCTCTTGTCTCTATACTTATTTACCATCTTTGGTGTATGTACAACTCACTTCAAATATTAAGCCAATAATGTCTCTTAAACATCTACACAAGTGGAGTTGTTTTATTCCATTTATATGTTTATGAAGATATTAAGTACAATACAATACAAATCAAAATTTAGCTTTAATTTTATGCATTATATTACAATTTTTGTAAATAAAAAAATATAAGATGCAATCTTTTGGAATGAAAATATTTATGACCAAAGCAATGCAATTGATGTATAATAAATTTGTCAATGAAGAGGTATATAGAAGTTTAACTTTGTGATCTAAATAGAAAAAAACTCTAAGGGGTTTGATACAAAGATGAATGATGTGAATTTAAGACTAATTAAAAGTTTGTTTGAATTTATTAATGACTAATTTTAATAGAATTTTCTTGAGTTTATACACTAAAACTATAAGAAGTAGAAATCTAGAATAAAATAAAGAAGGAACATAGAAGATACATAGACAAAGTAAGAAGATGAGAATTGAAAAGAAATAGAAAGATAAACAATATAAGTTGTAAGAATACAAAACAACTAAAAAGAAATTTCTTGTACAACCCTCAAATATTGATGCTTGTCTATTAAAACCTTAAACTTTAGCTAATGCAATGGGAGGTGGTGTCTATAGACAAATTACTTTTGAATCTATAAAAAATTTATAAAAAAATAATATAATATTCTGAATTAAGAAACAGATTAGATTAGCCTTATTGGATACATCAAAGACATCTTAGTACATAGTTGTATACTTCTTTTAGTATTTTGTAGAAAAAATAAATTTAAAGAATAAACATAATATTAGTATTATTTTTGGTATGTATATGCCCTCTATTAGTGATTGTAGATTTATAATCAATTTTTTGTGAAAATTTTAATTATTAATAAACAAATATTGATAAGCAATTTAGTAACTTGATTTTGTGAAATATTTTTTGTATAAATGTATGTATTTTAAGTAAATAATTGTATAAATACTTTTTATTTTACTAAAATACTATATATATGTATATATAACTTAAAATATATAATCTAAATAAATAAATGACATAAATATAAAAATATAAAAATATAAATTATTGAATCAAATTATCAATAAAATCGTTAAATAAAACTAAATAAGAAAAATATAAACATAGAATAAAAATAAAATAACATAACTTTAAAAATTATGCAAATATATAAAATAATTTTTATTGATATTTATATTATAAAATCTAATGATATTTTATTTTTAATATTTGAATATTTTTATTAATTTATAATAAAAAATATTATTGATAATGTAATAAATTGATCTTACTTTAGTTATATAATATATCTAATTCAAAATATTTTTGTATCTTATTAACTAAAATTCATCTTATATCATTATAAAAATATTAAAAATTATTCATTTTTTAACAGAGATTTAAAATCCTCGTTTAATTGATACTTAAAAAAATTATTAATTTTCTTCTATAAAAAAATAGCTTTTTAAAATTTTAAGTATTATGGGATGATTTTCTTAAAGTGGTTTAAGAACTCCAATGAGATTTAAGTATTTTAGGTAGTAAAATCATATTTATGTAATTATATTTATTGAAATTAAATTATTTTTATTTTTATATTTTTCTAATTTTAATTTATTTTTATTATTTATTAATTATGAAAATTAAGATAATATCTCTTAAATTTAAGTTGGAATTATTTATTGCTTATTATCCTTTAAAAATATTTTTAATACATGTATTATACTAACTCACAAGTTTGTAAGAATATTTGCTAATAAGACATAGTATTGTATTTATATATTGATGAGATTAAAAATTTATAGATTTTAAAAAAGAAAACTCTATTTCACAATATAATTATTGAGATCTTGTTTTTTCTTTTTTAATATTTCTATCTTTATTATGTTATTAAAATATTTTAAATATCTTTGTTTAAACATTCACTTATTCTTATTTTCAATAATTTACTTTTTACTACGTATTTTTAAAAAAAAAGTTTTATAAAACTTGTTAAAAGACACTTTATAATTAAAAGCCTATTTTGAAAGCTATGGTTCAAAAGACTTACTAAGATCCTTGCTTGGTGATGAAAAGTCTCTCTTTGAAAGCCTTTTCTTTTGGATGTAGAATAAAGTGCAAAAAAGCCATGAAATACACTAAAATATTCTTTTATTACAAATCTAAATATTTCAATCCACATCTTGATTTAAATATTTATGAAAAATATGATAAACTTGGTTTATTATTTTGATAGTTGTTTTAAGTATTTTTTTGATATAAATTTTCAATTTTCTCTAAACCACCACATCTTTGAGATGGACCCAATGGAAATTCCAAAGAACAAAACTAGTCATTTTTTATATTAAAAAAATTGCATTCCATCTCATTTTTTCGTCTTAAGGGCCTGAAGACTTGTTTTTCTAAGTATAAAGCCATCTCAAAGAGATTTCTTCATTTCAACTAATCAAATGGATAAAAAAATAAAATAAATGAAGACCTCTTGACTTGCCTGCTAGTTTTAAAGTGCATTTAAGTCCAAATGTGCAACAATCATCTTAATTAATTTGATGGTAGGATATGGCTTCTAACATAAGGGAGAATTTTTAACAACTTGAGAATAGTTTGTATTTGATAGTTGATTTTTTTGTCATTGATAATTTGGAAAATGACATGGTTTTACGAGATTCTGACTAAAATTGTACTACAAACTCAATCTTCTGATTGTATATTTGTAACTTGATTTTCGTATTTTATATTTTTGTTCTTGTTCTTGTTCTTGTTTTGTTTTGTTTTTTTTTTGTTTTGTTTTTTTTTTTAAATTCATAAAATGATACTCAAATTGTAATTTGAATATACTGGGACATTTTATAAAATATTCATGTTACTCTTTTTGTATGATGTTCTTTTATATTAGCTACATACATACATACATTTCATTTTATATGGGTGCAGGATATTGTAAAGCTAAAATTATAATTATGTCATTGTTCACGATTTTACATAATCATAAAGAAATGTGACAGGATTTTAATAATGTTCATTAGCTACAATCCAAACATTTTCACTGTATATGGGTGCGAAGTCTTCTATTGTTTGTATCACCAAAATACAATTCAATTTCTAGCCCTTGTATAATTTTTTTGAAGTATTTATGTTATAAAACTGAATTTCGAAATGTGACAATTTCGAGAAATTCGTCGATAACCTCCGCTAATTTTAGACACAACTACTGATGTGACGAACTAAAGTTGGAAGATTATGCGCACCGTCGCCAAATTCTCTCTAAATTTGGGGAGACGCCGACTAAATTTACCCAAGGATGGTGCCACCGAGGCGTGACACACATCGCGGGCAACTTCGTGGATCCCACCACGACCCGGCGTTCTGGACAGGGGGCGACTCGTCACCCGCCCCGTCATTCGGCCGGGCCACCCCCTGCCGCAACGGTCATGACAAGGGCGTGGGGGAAGTAGCCGTTCGGCCCCTTTGGAGTTTTGAAGAAGCGGGGCCAGTGATTTCCCATTGTCATTCGATTGCCACCTGCGTCCCAGCTCGCCGAGAGGTTACAGTGATTGTTTCGTGTGTTGTCTCGTGACGACGCTGGTGGTCTTGGTTGTGCGGAGGTGGCAGCGTGAGTTTATGCAAGCTTTAGATCGCTTGGTGTACTTGCGAGTGGTGAGGCCGCACGCAGGGTTGTTGAGGATGCGGATGTTGTGATCATGGTGTGCTGAATCGTATCTGTGAAGTGGGTTTGTCACTGTGACTGCTCTCGTTTAGGTGGGTAGTGGGGTGGGATTCAGGATTCGGTCATTGGATAATGGGGTCGATGGATTCAGCGTTTGGGGCTAACTCTGAGGGACGTTTCGAGCCGGATGACTTCTACGAGAGTTTTCTGGCGCCGAAATTCCATGATTTCACTGCGCCAGAGGAGCCCATTGACCCGGATGCTTACTTCCTGGGCAAGCCTGGTATGCGTCCGTTACTGTTTCCGTGGGTTCTAGACATGGCCCTGTCTTAGCATTGAAGCGCTTCAGTAAGTTGTGATGTGGAGCAAGATTGCTATGATCTTGGTAAGCGCAGATAGCAATAGGAAGTACGAAATTTGGGGTCCCACTTCGACAATTCTACATGGATATTTTTGATGGATTGGAATCGCTTCTGCATCTGCGATCTTAGCAACTGAATTTGTCCTCGACGATGAGCAGGGCTACTCAATAGATCAAAATCTCAGGGGTTTACGGTTGGTCGTTCCTTACGACGTTCATAGTGACATAACCAGCTGATCTGAGTGGTTGCGCAGGCATGTTGCCCAAAAAACCGGTATTTGAAGATGTGATGCCAAAGATTCAAAAGGTACACCATAATCATTGGATGGATTCATGCTGGCACTTTTAGGACCTGTGAAAGGTACTTGAACGGGGAAGAGTGACGCGAATTACCTGAACGAGTGCATGTCGGGGACTGGGTCGAGTTTAGTGGATTCACATTGTAGTTTGCGGTGCAGGATTCTTCCAAGGCTCTTCCAGGAATTCAACAGCAAGGACTTCCCCAGACTCCAGTTGCTGCAGAGAAGGGGGCTGTCAGGTTATTCCGAATCCTTCTTTTCATGCTGACTCCATGTATCATCTCATCTAGACATGCGTGGGAATCGTTCGAATCTAACCATTCTCACTGTCTACAGGAAATGTACTGTTATTGCCTAGATTGATGTATGGACTAGAACGGTGCAATGGTTGACTTGGTGCGTTGTCCCTGCAGTACCGGAAGCGCGAAGAAGACACTTATCCGAACAGCTTCAGGTTCGTTAACCCCATTGGCAAGCAAGAACATTAAAAATGGAAACAGTACATACAACAGTCCTGCACACCATCCAGCTCAGGAGAAGGCTGGGAATCAATCTCTGAAACCTACGTCCCTGGCCAAGAAAATGCAGACATGTGAGAATGATGATCCCAACTCTGATACACATGCTAACCACAGCGCTGACCATACCACTGCAAAGGTTGTCAAGTCAACACGAAAGGTTCCTGAAGACAAGCCAGCGATCACTCGTCAACGCAGCAAGAAGCTTCTGGAGGTGAAGCTTCCTGTAGGAGCTGGTGATGTGCAATCTGTACCGAAGAATTCCGGAGACTGTCTCCCTGCGAAGACCAGTGTCCAGAAGCAGACCTCCAGTGAGAAGGCGACCTCTAGGAAGGAAAGCCCTTCTAAATCATCGGGGACATCTAGCTCTGCGTCAGGGGTAGTGAAGGCCCTCAAACACAACGTTGCTCCTGCAGCTTGTTCACCGACAGGGAAGGACCACGGCCCATCAACTGCAGGGTGCAAAACACCTGCGAAAGACTCCGTGACACATCACCAGGACGTAAAGAAGGTAGCAGCTAGCGTTGAGGCTGCGGGGTCACCTTACAGTGGACACCACTGCAGGTCATCTAGATGCGCGGCCAATGACCCCAATCAATTATCTCCGGCACCATCACAGAAATACCTTGTTGCAAAGAAGGGCACGCCGGGTTCAATCAAAAGAATCTTGCCTAACTCTGCGAAAGTGGAAAAGTGCAACGAAGAGGTGAAATCTGACCGATCGACTCAGTCATCAGATGAGGCCCACAGTGAAGGTTCGGAGAGGGAATTGGGCTGCACGCATCTCACTTCCCAAGCTCATAAAATTGCTGTCGTGGACAGCCATGGCAGAGGCGGCTCTAAAGCCAATGGCCGCACAAAGGTGGCCTTAGAAGAAGTGTTTAAGAATATGGCCTTGGAGTCGGCCCCATCGTCTACCTCAGAGAAGCAGGCTACCAATGAGGCTATTGCCCAGTTGGAGGTCACTGAACTGAACAAGACAGACGACGGTGATTTCAAGGAGGTATCGCTAGTCGAAAATAGGAGTGATGTCGAGCCCGCGCATTCGCTACCTGCCCGGAATGGAACCGATGGTTCTGCCAATTCTGTGTCCTGTAATGACAAGGCAGCCAGCAGTCCCGAACCAGGCACGACGGCTAGTTCCTTAGATGTAGCTGATGCGCAGACGAACGCTAGGGGAATGGATCTGTTCCTGAAGTTGGCCAGCGAGAAAATAGACTGTTTGGACAGTGTTGATTTAAGTGCACTGGAGCTTTCACAGACCAAGCAAGGGAAGAAGAGGTAAGCCACCTCGGGTCTAGGCCCAGTTCAAATTATCGTAATTTTGTGAGATCCTCGAGTTGCATCCATTAAGTTGGTTCACGTTAAATGCCATCCCACTTTGCAACTTGCAGGAAGAGTGGTGAGCTGATGCCTGAAGGAGGAAGGAAGAGAGCGAACTTAGCCAAGGGAGTTGCGAGTAAAGTGCTGCCCAAACAGGTCAGTTGTTGCGGCCCTCTGAATCTACCACCAATTCCGTGACTGGCAAGGCTCGTTTGGATGACTTCTTTAAACCTGCGACTGAAAGAAAATCTTTGGTACTGCACCCCTCTGCCTTGTTTGACAAATTCACTTCTTCGTGTAGACTACTCAGGCTAAGGCGCCCGCATCTTCAAAGACACCCCAGCTCAAAATGCTCAAGATGAGGAGACTTTCAGTTGCTCGGAGGATTACCAACCCCCGAGTGACTAATCCACAGCCTTTCCGATTGCGGACACAGGTGAGTTAATTTTCATTCTCCCAATATCTCTCACCTGTCGCGTCGATGTCATACTCCATCGTACATGTGGTGGATTGCGCTGTAGGATGTCTCTCAATTATCAATTTTTCCGTGCAGGAACGAGGGGCAGTCAAGGAAGAGCAATTCAGAAAGAAGGTTGAGGAATACAAGGCTGCCAAGGAAGGTTTTCATTCCGCGTTTCAAGGACTTGCAGCCGTAGAACCAAGGGTTAGAACTTGACCTAACATACACCACGAACCTTGCAATGTATTTCAGATTATAAGTGCCTAAGAGCACCGTGATACTGGCTCGTAGGTGTGGTGCATGCTGTGTGTGTAGCACCTTCTAACCTAGTTTCTTGCGAATGAAACCTTCTCATGAGACCTTTTCTATCGAGTGTCTGTCCACTACCAAGATCTGTTGTATGACTGTGGCAACTCTTGATACAGATCCCAGGAAAATTTCTAAAAACTGGCAGTACTCATGTGTTTTCTGCTAAACGAGCAGAAGTTGCGAGCAAGGTAGGATTTTCGTCCGTGTTTCGATAAATTCCTCGCTAACATCTAACAGTGCCCTGTTAATTTTTCGATGCACCCATTCCATTACCCTGGTTGTGTGATTATGAGCGTGGTACATGATGTTTTCGCAGGATGATAAGGCTGTAGAAGGCAAGACACAGAAGCCTACGAGTGTTCCAGTCCTAAAACCCCCTGTTTTCAACTACCCGTTCAAGCCACATAGGTGAGTGCACAGTACTGTTTCCACCTGCTTTCAAGTGATCTATGTTCCTCTCCATAATCTATTCCATCGCTTCAGGACATCCTGTTCATTTTGTTGACGCTCCCGGGTTAAGACAGTGACCTATCACCTGTTAATGCAGATCCACTAAGAAGCTTACAGTGCCACAAGACCCCAAATTCCATACTGTGAGAAGGGCCTCTCCGTCGGGCGTAGCAGTGCCTGCACAAGCGTAGCAGCTCGCGTAGAAGACGTCCTCTCAGTTTTGTTCATTGAGCCTAACCTGCCAATACGCTATTGACATAGTAGGTAGATGTAGTTAACCTGTATATTAGCACCATTCATTTTCAATGACATGACCTTGTTGTCTATCAAGTTTCCCTTCCACGCGTTGTCAAAAGTGCCTAAACCGTTTTTGTAAATCCTCCTGTTTCTTACTACTCTTGCTTCGCATTAAGTTCTGCACCAGAACTGTATAATTTTCCACCATGTGATTGTTATAATCCAGTCAATTGACTTATCAGTCGTACCAAGAACCCTGTCAGTACTTACCTGCTGCTGACTGCCACAATCTGTTGCGTAAAATGTGACCAAAGCGACTGAAAAGCCGACTTTTTCCCCCTTACTTCAGTCCGCACCTATCTCCCTGAAAGAGGTGGAACTGCAATTTTAGTCATGCAACCACAGCCCAGTCACTATCTTCATTCTATATTCCCTTAGCATCATCGTGCCGACTTCAATTAAATTTCATTACCGTTTAATTTCGTTAATGACATGAGCTAGCATAGCGGATGTATCCCTCTTTGTGCTTGTGCAAAACCTGATGTGACTACCAAAATTTACAACATTGCGAAAACAGGTTCTGCGTGCAGAATATGATGTTATAGGTGTACTGTCAAACCGACGTTCAACTCTACTTTCATGTATCCACTACGTCAGTGACAAATTGTAGGATTAGATATGGCAAACACAAATATTGATTAAGTATGTATCTCTATCACCAACCGCTAACTCGCTACAAATCGCAGCAACTTCCCGAGGAGCACTATGAGTACGATTGATCTGCTCACACGGGTGAACGGTGTCATCAAAAAGTATGAAAAATATGATACAGACAATATCAGAGGACCAGAAATTGCTAGCCACGATTACTTTCTAAGGCTTTATAAGAGTATTGAAGATGACCTAAATGGTGCCTTGAAGGTAAATGTTTACCCTAACCAATTGCTAACATCCTATACTCAAGAATGTTAGGATTCAGTCTTGAAGATTAGTGGGAACCTTACGATTAAACGAAAGGCGTTTTTTTATTCCTTTCAATATTTCCAATCTTCAAATCAATAGACTGCAAGAGCTCCACCAATATGTTGTTCAAATGCTTCGTTCAATCTGAAATGTGTGCCCAATCAGAGTTTGACGAAAGACTGCGAAATACTGTAGTTGAAGAATGACAACCTCGTTTCCTCGTCTACTGTGTTTTCACGAAATCTTGCAGGAGCCGCACTATAAACTGACCTTGCGAAGGCACTGTATGTAGAAAGCTGCCGAGGCGGAGTCTGAAAAAAACCGAGCTGTCATAGCCACACTCAATGCGGATCTCCGTCGGACCAAAGCTGCATTGCGCAGCGAGCTTCCGAAGCTCCACAAGCTTGCCGCGAAGAAGGTAAGGCTCTATCTCACGATGCTTTGCTAATGTCATTAGGAGCAACCATTGTATCAACGGATGGTTCTTACGTAGAAAGTGGACGTACGGAAGCCTTACTCTTCAACCCTACAACCTCCGTCGCCTCGTACATTCCAGGCAATGCTCGTAATCACGAGGCATCGCCCACTCTAACCAACTCTCATGTCAACATTTCACCGTGGAGGCTTTGAATCATAAACGTGACTTTCAGGCTTTGTTGGACTGGATGTTTCTACCCCTACCACACTTCAATCCTCTGCTGCTGTTGTTGGATGCTCATCCGTAGGTGAAAGGGGTACCACCAGAGGAAATTCTTACTCGACCCAACATGGCGTTAGCCTTATCTGCCAGAATTGAGGAAGTTCCAGATGGGGTCAGCGTAAGCAAGAAGAAAGTCGCCAAGGGCACGCCCCTTGAGATAAAAATCGATAACTACAGCCCCGGTGAGGCAACTAATTAATTAGTTACAGAACCATACTTGTACATTGCACGGCACAGACTGTTCCATATGTCATGTTACTTGGAATTGTAACTCGGCAAATCACAGCCGACGCTAATTCAATGAAGATTACGTGTTCTGGCCTTCATTGAAATTCAGGGGAGGGAAATAGCAAATGCTGTACAGAAAGCTTGTTGAAGCTGCTGAACCTAATTATGGTTGTGGAATTGATCTAACGAGGCGATCTCGTTCCTCATGTGACAGAGGACATTCTTCGGCAAGGCGTCAAAGATCATTCCGTTGAGTCGAAGGGTTTTCAAGAGGAGTTTGAGACTCGTAGGAAAAAGCAGGTTATAACTATCCACAAGGCAGGCAGTGTTGAATTCAATAGAAGGATTTGTTGACGTTGTTTGGGATCGACGCATAGCCTCTGCTAGCAACAGTGAAAAGTAGTCGTTCTCCCCGCTGTAAAAAGAAGAATCCCTCCCGATGTCATCTTCTGAGTCAGTTCGATTCATTTTCGGCGTGCAATGCTTGCTCTGCACAATGCTGCAGGATGAAGGATTTATGGCGATAGAGCAGGGCTTAAACACCCTCAAGGATATGGCTCAAGACATTGGTGAGGTAAGAAATGTGCTCACTCCATTTATGTGCGTTTTCTCTGCCGATGATAGCTCACCAAATTCCTGTTTTCAATTTCTTTACAAATAGAAGTACCAAAACATACCAAATTCACTGGGAATTCTCATCTTCTTACAGCGTGATTCATCATTTGCCTGATCAAGAAGTGGAAAAGAAACGCTCAGACCTAAAAAATATGATGAGTTTTGCTTGTGCACATAGTAGATGAAGCGTGGGTCCTATGCAAATTCTGAACAAGTTTTCAATTAGTAGCTAAGTTGAGAAACAAATTGTAGCCCACTCGTGATAAAACTCAGGATATCCAGAAGTAAAAAACAACTGTAGGGGCTTAACTACCCTAGTGCTGCGAGTTTGTGAGCTTAATATCTTCTCCCACGCAAGATGTCGTTCCGTGGGACCTCTTCACTCCCGACAGGTTTGTGGCAATTGACAACAGAAGGCTGGAAGTGCAGGAATTGAACAAGCAAGAACAGCTAGTGGACGAAGCAGACTCCAAGATTGACAAAGCAGGCTCAGATTTGAAGTCCACGAACTCCAGACTCAAAGAGAGCCTGACAGCGGTAACTGTACAAGTCATTGACACACTGTTATCTCTGCCATTGTCACGTCTCCCAGATTCTGCAACTCTCTCTCTCTCCCTCTCTCTGTGGTCTTGCAGCCTGACGCCACACCATGCATTCAAATGGTCACCAGCACTATACATGTTCAAAACGGTGACTGAAAAACCACCCCTCAAACCTATTCACTACTCCACAGGGAGTTTTGTTTGCCAGTAACTGAAGTGAATGTGAGCTCTGTGCGTACATGTGAGAGTGATGAGGATCCAATGAAGTCTACCTTGAGTGTTGCCTTGCAGATGAGGTCAAGTCGCAATTTCTGCGTTGATGTTACACTGCTGGTAATTATCTTGGGCATCGCTGCGTATCTTTACAAGTTTGTCCCGGCCTTCTCTTGGATGTTGCATCCCCCTTTGCATCTCACCCATTGTTGTGAGCTTGAACTGAACTTTGCAGTTTTGAAGCTTGACTGAGAGCTTGCAATGGTTCCATGCTTTTACAACATTCATGTCCTTGGAGCTCTCCCATTGCTAGTGTGCTTGAAGTGTGTTCCTTGCTTGATTGTTTTGTTGTGAGTAAACTCACTCTCTCTTGTGCTGCTTCATGGATTTGCAGGGCACTGAAGAAGTGACAGCTTGGTTGGTGACAAATTTGCAGGTGTTGCAGCATTTGGTTCAGCAGCACCACATGGACTTGCTTTGCTCATGTTTGCATGTGCCTTCTAACCCACCTAGACTATCATCTCATACTCCTGGTGTGAGAATATGAGTAAACTGAGGATTCTGTAGCAAGTTCTAATATTTCATATTATGTGATAATATCGTGGTTTTGTGAAACTCGCTTAGAGACTAAGGATTTTCTAAAATTAAGGTTTTCTTCAAACAATGAATTAAGGTGAATATGACATTGATGGAGTGTGAGTCACAAGGTTAAGGGGAAGATGGAGAAGCTATAATTGACCATTTTTTGGTTATACCAATTTGCTATTTTGTAGTCGTCCTTAAATCAGTTCTTCTTGCTCTCAAAAATGATGTTTGTCATTTTTGGGGGTTCTGTTTTCTTTTTCATATATTTTCTATGGAAAATTTAAGGCTGCCATTTTTAATGTTAAGCCACAGTGAAAAAATTGTATAATTCTGTTGGTTTGATTGGAAAGTGACTATACAATTTAATAAAAATATGTGGTCTTTTACACAAGATGCCATGAATATTTTAGGTGTTGCTAATGCCACTTTAATTTTTGCTATTATCACCACAATCAGTCACTTATATGACATATTTTTTTTTGACCCTTAAAATGTTAATATTTCTATGTACATTGAATAATAATAAAAAATAGTTGTGATGATACAAGCAAAAACTTTGGTGGCATTAGCAATATTCATATTTGTTTGTTATTTTGGTCTTTGTAGTATGAAATTTAGTGATAGAAAATATGAAACAAAAGAAGTTTTTTACTTTACAATGTCTAATGTGTAAAATATATAAAGTAGTCATAAAGAATAAACATTCAAAAATTGGTCACATAGGAACCATCTTAGTTATAAATAAAACTTTTTAAATTAATAAAACTAATAGAGCATACACAATGTATGCATGTTTGTACAAATATTAAAAGATTAAATATCACTTTTAATCTTTAAAAAAATTATGAAAATAAATTATCAAAATTTATTGCATTTTATTAGCAATTTTTTTATGACTAAAATCTTTGTAATATTTATTAAAAATTTAATTACCTTTTGTTTGTATTCAGAACTTTAAATTTTTAAAATAAGATATTAATTTACTGAAAGTTAGTATAGGTATAAATTTGATTTTTTCAGCCAAATGCATGCATATTTATATTTATTGTCTAATTATTTCAATCTTGCAATTGTTTTTGTTTAGATTTTAAATAAATTTTTATAAATTCTTTATACAAAAAAAATATAATCACATAATATATCACTTCTATGTATTATTTTTTTTATTTGAAGAATTGTAGAATTTATGAAAAAAATATTAATTAACTTGAAATAATCCAAGTATTTTAAAATAATAAAAAATTATAATTTTAAAATTAAAATTTTGAAACATGTTATGAATATATTTTATTTTATATTATTTTATTTAATAATATATATTATTTTAATATAAAAAATATAATCAAATGTAATAAAACTTTAGATTCAATAAGCTATATTTTATTTTTATTCATAGTGTAATAAGATATTAAAGTTAATTTTTTAAAATTTTTATTAAGTTTAATTTTGTTTTAATTTTGTTTTAATTTTTGCTACTACCACGACAATCTAACATCTATTTTATGTCAACTTGAGCTTTGCTTTTACGAATATAACTTACCACCATTTTTGTTAATTGATCCACCTTATCTTAACCATCATTAAAAGAATGATTATTCCCAATTCCTACTCATTTCTAATCTCTACTTCTTCCATTCCAAGCTTTTTTCATTCTCAACTCTCATCTTTATCTTCTCTTCCCTCCTTCTCTCCAGTGTTTCCACTCAAAGATTTTGTCATTATATTTCAGATCATCAATGAGATGAACTTGCAGAATGCAAATTCTCGTCACATAATCTGCATTTGAAAAACTAATATACATCCAACAACCTCTATCTCTCTTTCTCTCTATGGTTGCACCATGTTTATGTATTTTTGCTTTCTTTCTTTCATTTTCTTTGTACTATTGCCATATAAGGAGCAATGTATTGTTCTTTCTTTCTTTCTAATAACAACCAAATTCTTTGTTAAGGACATGAATTCAAAGAAAGAAAATTTAATACACTATTGTGTAAGTTGAAAAGATTATAAAGTTAATCGAAGATGATAATATATTGAATAGAATCGCTATTGCAAAAGATAAGAAACTAAAAAGTCTTGAAATAAGGCTAATGACTAAGAAGGCATTGATAAGAGTGAAAAAGGCTTCATTCTTGCTTCTATATATACTATCTAACTAAAAACTACATGGCAATGTTCTATAGGACCTCCAACATGTGTTGACTTTGTAAGATACATGTCTTAACTTGCAAGATAAGTTTTTTTATATATGCTACATAATTAGATTGTTCCACAAGCTACTAATATATGTGACATATAGCTAATTTGTTGACTAAGTTTCTAACCTACCAATCTACTATAAACACATGTAAAGTCAAAGCCATATCTATAAAGCTTTTAAGAAGCTTTTCTAAAATATATTATGAAATTAATCTATTTTTACTTACTTTTATTTAATCATATAAGTAATTATTAGAGTAAATATTTATGTTTATGACATTATCCTTCCTTCTAGGAACGAATTCCATGAGGAGTGGTCAACATATATTGAAGAAATCCAAGATGTAGCAATATATTTGCTACATATTTTGATCCTTGTTTTCTTTGAAAATGGTTGATAGGTCCTCTCAGCCATTAATAGTGTCACATATTAAGATAGGAAGACCACCTTATTATTTAATCATTGTTGAAGTCTTCATAACTTGCTTCAATCATCCAAAAAGTTGTGACAATCACAATGTCTTATTTGGAAGTTTGTAAACGATAGCTCTAGAGTTGAATTTGTTGGTTGTTGGTTCTCTATCTTTTTAGTATTATAAATACATATAAACCATAAATAAAAATAAAAAATAGATTACTATCTTCTATGGATCTTGTTTCTTTTATAGCAAAGATTTAATATTCTTCATCTTTGTTTTGATGGATATTATCAATGAAAAGCCTCAATTCTCTTTATTGCACTTGTAAGATTCTTTGCTAACTTCTATTTGTGTTCATTAATATCATATCTGTACAAATGAACAAGATATTCTAACCTATTTTAGGAATGCCTTAAATTTAAGACTTCTTCTACCGCACTTTTGATTATTATCTACTTCTATAGGAAGAGATGGCATTTTTTTTTTTCCAAGATATTTCAAAATAAGATTGAATATTCTTAAAGATCTAAAATCCTTCCAATCTATAGCAATATAAATCCTATCATAAAGTAGGAAAAAATAGACCAAAATAAAATTGAACAAAATTAAATAAAATTAAATATAAAAGACAAAAAAAAGCAAGAAAAAATAGAATAGAATAAAATAAAAAATAAAAACCAAACTTTATCAAGAAAAGGGATCAAAGCCATATTTGACCAAATACTTCAAATGGCCTCTTTTAGTCTTATTTATATATTATCCAACCATTTTGAAACTTTTTAGAATGTCCCTAATAGTGGGCCTATCAAAATAATTGCCCTTCTAGAAGGTTCTAGAGGTGGATCCTACTTTGATAACCGCCCTTAATTCTTTCAGGATGTTTTATGGTAGATTCCATATGAACCACCAACTAATTCTAATTCTAAAAACTTCTAGAAACTTTCTAAAAATAGCATCTATTATCTATCTCTATATATTAATAATATAATTATGTTATTTATGCATTGTTATAGTTAATTTTCTTTTATTAATGTAAAATGCTCTCGTTTCACTCTTGATGGTACTTCTAAATTATTTCTTGACAATGGATGAGATTTTGTACAAGTTTTTATATTGCATCATAAATGGGATAGCCTATATAAAAGACCTTGTATTGAAGTTGCAGACATCTATTGCCATCACAAAAGTACCAATGCTCCACAATTTTGTCACCGAAAAACTCTAGTAAATCTCCTCCAAAAAATTCATGTGAATGTCCTTCTTCTCAGTTCCATTTCTTGCATACTATAGCTTATTAGAAAATTAACAACACAATCTAAGTTCTTTCAAAGTTTTAGAAATAGAAAAAGAAAATACAAGAAATGGCATAGAAATCCCTAAAAAGTCTTAAATCTTACTGCTTGAAAACTCCAACGACCTTCTTTTACAAATTCATATAGTTTCCCCTCTTCATAGCTCTATTTCTTGTGTAGTATAGCTTTTCAGAAAACTAATAATACAATCTAGCTTTCTTCTAATTTTCAAAAAAAAAAGATAAAAATTTCGTAAGTGGCCTTCAAAATCCCGAACTAGGCTTGAATCTCATTCTTTCCAAAATTTCCAACAGCCTTTCTTTCCCTTCCTTTTGACCTTAGCCCCCTCTTCCAAAAATTGAAAATCCTTGATGCCAAAAATCCTTATTCCTAATATTTTCTCAATATCTATCTTGAATCATTATAAGGTTGGATATTTATCCTAAAAGACAATACCTTCAAGCTCAAATAATCCATTCAAGAAAAAAATTTTATATTCTAAATTTTATGTAAATTTATAAATGTATTAATATTATATTCTTTTTTTTTTCTTATAAATAAAATTAATTACCCTCTAAATATCTTTAATGCACTTAAATTAAGTGCATCACAACAATAGGCTTTGCGATGATTTGAAATAAGTATTAACATGAAATACTTCAAGTTCTTATGATTTGTATACATATTGATTAGACTAAAAGCACCTTCTAGATAATGATAAAATTCTTAAAATGAATCCACAATTGCAAGAAGTTCTTTGTCATAGATTTCATATTTAATTTCAATTGCTCAAAATTTTTTAGAATGAAAAGCTATTAGATAGAGCTTTTCATCTATTTCCATTTGTTATAAAACACCTATAGCAAAATCTAATGCATTTGATTCTACAAAGAAAACCTTCAAAAAGTCGACACATTCTAAGATTGGTATAATAATAAATGTTGTCTTCAAGGCTTTGAAAGATGCTTCAACTTCTTTGCTTTATTTAATTTTGTCTTTATATATGAGGCATGTAAGAAGAACTGCCACTTGAGAAAAGTTCTTGATGAAGATTCGGTAATAATTAGCAAATTTTAAAAAATATTATACATCTTTAATTTTTTTTGGGATCTTTTAATCCATGATAGTTTGGACCTTCATAGGATCTATTAAAAGACCATTTTTTGAAATAATATATCCTAAAAAGTCAACTTAAATAGTATGAAATATATACTTTTTTATTTTGGTATATAATCTTGTATTTTTTAATTTTTGTAACACACAAAAAATATGAAATTTATGCTCTTTTATATTCTTAGAGTAGATCAAGATGTCACCTAAATAATAGATGATAAAATCATTAAGAAACTTGCTAAAGATATCATTCATTAGATATTAAAAAGTAATTGATGCATT